TATGAATGACTCCTTAAATAAGCATGAACACTGCTTCTTGGAAACAAAGTAAAAAGAAATTAGGGCTGGTATAAGCATTTTGCAAATAAAACACATAAAAAAACATCAATTTGTTTTCTTGTTTTGGTCTAATTTTAAAAGTCTTACCTGTATTGATGATGAACAGGATGCCATTTACAATACAGCATTCACTGCACTGTTTCAAGACAACACTGCCATCTGAAGGCAGCTGGAAYGACATCATGTGGAAACGTGCTGACTGATGATGACTCAAATTTTCTGAGAAATTTAAAAATGGGGCAAATACAAATTTTTAAAAAATCGCAATCCCTTTTCAATTGACATAGTTTTATCATTATTTGTGAAGGCCATTCGTAATAAAATGCAAAATTGAATTCTTACACTTTTCACTGTAATTTGTGAAAAACCACCAGATGATTGATTTTTTTAAACTTTCAGAGCACACACTGTGACTTGCTTTGCATGATCACAAGATGGCACTGTGCACTCAGTACTTGCCTGCTCTACAAAACTCCAGTATGACACACCTTTCTATCTACTTCATTAACACCAGTACATTCGTGCTGTTCCCRTTCAGGGCCACACCATGCGCTATTTGCCTCCTGATGCTGCAAAAATCAATCTCACCAGCTCCACATTGGGGCACGAAGAAGAACAAACACAGGCTCAATGAAAATCCGTCAATGCTTCATAATATAGACTTACTTAGTTCTTTTATTTTAGCAAAACAGGGACAAAGAATAGATTTACCTCTCACTCAGAATAATTGCTTTATGAAGTGCTGAACTGAGGAGAGTCTGTTTCATCTACACCTCTTCATCCCTGAGTCTCCTCAGCATCACATTTAACACCTCCTCTCGTGCTATTATGCAACGCAGACCTATAAAAAGTGTCCACAAAAAGCAACGCACRAGTTTAAGAACACACAGTTTCCCCTCTGAGGGCACGATGCCAAGTCAAGGAGGGCGTTTATCTGAGTCCACAAAGCCACAAGGACCAGAAAGATAACCGAGCACGGCCAGCTGAATAAAATCTTTGCAGCATCTGATTAACAGGATTCTAAACATCCCTCGGTGTGCAGCTCATCRTGCATAAAGGAACCGGAGAGGTGGCGTGGCTGCAACAATTCTGCATCAACACTTCCTATATGAGGTCTGGAGGTAGCCTGAATGTGAAGGCTGTTCAGTTACTGCATAAAACTTCAAACACATGAGGAATTTTCCCAAATTGTGCCGATCAAGGCGCACTCTGCCTGACACAGTAAATGTCAGAGTTAGTTTAACACTGCACAATCAGTATCTTCATTATCAAGTTCCAGATTCATACTTTGTTTTTATTCTCATTAACAAGATGTAAGGCAGTGGGCCTTCGTGCAAAAATGATTCTCTAATTGAGTGCAATCATTAATAATGAACACACTGCAGAACAGACATTTTACAGCTTTGTGCACAATATCATATTAACACTAAGCACTCTTGTAACTAGGATTGTTCCAGGAAGTTGCATTTATTTGTTTTTCAAGTGCAGTTCCTGGCTCCCACACAGAGAGTACAGATTTAAAAGTTTAATTTGACACAAGCTTTGAAAAGAATTTAAAAAATATATAAGATGGAGTACTCTTGATGCTGTGTGTCAGAACATTTCCTTTTTTATTAAACTGATAATAACTGATAAAAAGGGATTTTGAGTGAATATGAAGTCTTCCACGGATCAACACAAACACATATCAGGTTCAATGTCGCAAACCTTTAATTTGGCAACTGAAAAGCTAAGCGACATCTTTTCATAATACATGTTTTATATAACATTATGGCATTTTAAATCAATTTTATGTTTGTCCTTGGATTTTGTTCTCTGATGTATTTATCGCACGCTGCTGAAAGGTGAAGGCGGCTCATTATGGTTTTGTCTGTGCATGCATCTGTCTGTTATTAAAATATTCYATGAAATACTGGACTCATTGGAACGAAACTTGCAGAAAGWAATCAAATGATAGACATCTACAACTGATAAACTTTTGGAGYCAAACCAATTTAAGATGGCCACCACAGCCAAGTGACATTTGAAAACCCAAAATGGTTACAATTCAGTTAAATTTCTAGATATTGTGCTAAAATTTGATATGATTGTAGCTAAGAGTCATTCACAGCCCTAACACCAAGAGCTACTTATTGTTAATGTGCAAAATCTTGTGCAAAATCTACATCTTTTTGTGTTTGATTTCATCCTGTTTGTCTGTTAGCAAAATAAATCATGAACCACTGGACAAATTTTAATGAAAGTTTCAGAACATAATCATTGACTATAAATCTACAATTGRTTAACATTTGGTGTCAATCCAATTCAAGATGGCCACCATAATGTAACAACATTAGCCAAGTCAAAAACGGTCATAACTCTGCTAATTTTACAGACAAGGTAATTTGGTGTGGTAGTAGCTGAGAGGCATTCTCAGCCTATTCTACGAACGYAAACACATCTTGCATGACTTCAACATCGCATCAAACTGTGAATATTTTCAAGGTTTGACCGAAACGAACTCTGACATTTTTCAGCATAAAACAATTTAAAAACCAAAGTCTGTCGTTAATCACAGCGATATGCATCCCTTCAAAACTGCTAAGCCTTTAACTAAACAAATGCATGAATAACATCTATAAATTGTCATATCAAAGATGAAAGGCAGATGAACTTTATGTGTTAGRATAAACATAAAATAAAGATGCTGAGTCTTTACATTATCCTGTCTGACATTCTGTCTCTGCCAGGCTGTAAAAATGAAACATCCATCAAAGGCAAAGAGGGTACATTAGTCAAYAACCATGAACTGATTGCCTTGGCTAATTGCATTATTTGCATGATWTTAAAAGCTTGATGTGAATGATCATCAGTGTAAAAGAAAAGAAAAAAAACGAGACAGYACATTTAAAGCAAACTCAGACACATTTTTCTGAAATAAGCAATCTCTGACCGTGGAAATTTAATATTTAGAGTTTGAGTTAAAATGGAAAACAGTTTTGCCGGCTCTCCGGGTTGCATCTGTTCTGGGTAAAGACAACTAATAACATGGTCGTTTACTCTGTTCACAGACCCTGATGACTTGTAATCGGCTGTCAAAGCGCCTCTTGAAATCAGTGTGAATGGAGGTTTAATCAGAGAGAATGAGTGAAAACACCTGTGAAGAGGTAAAGGGCCTTCATTAGGCTTATTAAGGACACTTGTGCTTTTCCCAGTATCACAAGCTAAAATGTTCGCTAGGAAAAGAGGCCTTCATTGACTCAGGCATGAAAACTTACTTGCAAAATTCATGCATTAACAATAATTGATTTGATTTATTGATTTAACAGGAAAAAAATACTAAAAATCAAGCCTGACTCAGCATAATTGCTGTTTTACAGCAGGTTCCTGTTCTGCAGCCCATAAAACACTCAGAATTACAGCATCACAATCACATCATTATACACCATAGACGCAAAGACAAACAAGCATACCAAATTTCAGGAAGGCAGCATTTGCAAAATAGGACATCTAAATATGAGCACAACAAAAAGTGTCCAGCAGATGGCAGACAAGATTCTTCTTAAAGGGCTGTAGTTTTGAAATGGACTTTATGTTTTGAGGAATGTCATTCCATGCTTTAGTATAAAYATAGAAGAAAGACCTCTGGCTGTAACAGTTTTTAAAAGTTGGTAATATCAGTTGTCCTTTTGTAACAGATCTAGATGAATGACCACTTCCAGAATTTGATTTGGGTACATAAAGTTTCTCTACAACTAAGGCTTTTGTTAAAACATAACTATTTTGCATGTTTTTGCTTTTTTATCGTTGTTGTTAGACTGCTATAAGCTYTCTGATAGGAATGAATGTATATGTCAGTGACCTGAATTCCCTCTTGATTTTGACCTCCCAATCAGATTTGACAACAGTTCCTGTACTGTGTAAGGCTCTCCCTCAATCCCTTCCTGCCTCTGCAGCTCTCTTCACTAGAGAATGCTGTTGGAAGTCTTTAATGATCTGTTTACCTGGAATCGTTCTCAAAACTTCAAGTGAAATACATTAGTGAGCCACTTCATGTCTAAACAACAACTACTCAGGTGCCTCTTAATGAATGTTGCACTCGGATTGTTAATGCTGGCTGCTGTGCGGTTTGTTCAGGYGACAGGCGTACAGCTTTATTTAGAATGAACTCAAATCGCACTATTTCAAGGTGCTCTCGCTTCTTCTTTTAATCTTCTTAAGCCTTGTTTAGACTGGAAGTACTTCCATAAATAGAGGTTTAGTGTGAAGCAAAACCAGCTAAGACTAAAGTAACTTATTTGGAATATGACCAAAGAAAATGGTAAGATCAGAGGTTTTATTTAATGCCAGCAGATCTTTAATTATAAATGTTAAATGAATAATGTGTTGGGATTATTTCAATTCAGTTTGGTGCTGTTTTTGGCAGTAAACAATTGACCAGTCATTATCCTTCAAGTGTTTTATCATTGAAGCTACAACTAAAAARGAAAAAGCCTCAAACATTAATACAGCTTGAGTTCTACCTCCCTGAATTGAAACTTTATTTCAGTCATGAAATAATCATCAGTAGACTTTATGACAGGGAGGATGATRCTGGGAAAACTAACATTTATCTGTGTCCATCCATACCTCAAGGCACACCATCTCCGGTTCCTCGTCGTATGGAGTGTTGTAGTTGACCTGGTAGCCCATGGTTCGCCTGCAGGCCCGGGCCAGTCCCTGTATCCACTGCCACATCAGGACCCTGGTGCGTTTGAGCCCCCGCAGCACAGAGGTGGGCCTGAGCTCCCACTCCCTCACAGCCGCCGCACTAGCGCATGGCATGCTCSGACTACGGAGCCTCACTCGCCACGTGAGGCCCGAGCCCGTTTGAGGTCACGAGAAGTCCACGCGTTCCCATCCCTGTCCTCTACGTCTTCCCAGCACCGTCGGATCTGAAAGACATTGTGGTGGAGAGAGAGAGAAAAAAGAAGAGGGGAGAAGCACCGGCGACCTCGACGAAGCAACGAGTGTTTACAAAGGAGAGGGCAGAAGAGGATTAGGACAATGTTCCCACTGGGTGCAGTCCTGATTCCTCTGCTTTACTGCGTCTCACCAGCTTAGGCCAGATTAAGCCCGCAGGTCTTAATGTCTGAACTAGATGGACAGAGATCGAGACCAGTGRCAAGCCTGGAGTCCTCAGATGTTTGTGATCATTTATTATAACACAGCCGTTGTGCCCGTCTGTTTTACAGAGGATTTTCCTGAAGAGCCATGCAACATGTAATTCAGTTCAGACAACTAAATGTCAAATCTCTTTATTGTGCAGTCAGATTATTTATTTATCTCAGACTCACTGCCKAAATACAAACAGAAACCCCATTGATGAAAAAAAATGTGAATCTACACAAAAAAGTCACATCAAGCATAAAAAATATTGTAGCTCTTTAAACGTATCAGTGGAGCTCTTTTTCCCTTCTTATKTTTAAGGAGACATGTCACTGACAAATTAATTCAGTTTTATTTCACAATGTTGTTTTTTTATTGTATCATAGTAAAAATWATGACCTTGTGAGTGTTAAAATGTGCAATTTGTTGCTGAGTTGTTATTACAGACTTAGGGACAATTTGTTGTCTTTTATATTCCAAAATACACATTTGACTACAGAGTTTTATCATAGGAATAAACTCACGATTAGTTAATTCTAAAAGAATAAAATAAAATAAAAATACTCAACAGCCTTTGCAGTTGCTGAAAAATGAAATCCTCTGTATGTTTTCAAGCTCTTTATTTAATAGTTTGGAAATTATAACGCATCACACCAAATAATCTTTTTCTTAGGTCTGATTTTTTTACATAAATTTAAAGAAAAGGTTTTATTTA